AGATTTAAGAGTCTTATCATTTATTTTAAGAATTTTATAAGAGTTCTGTTGTAAGAAAATTGATTGTGTAATGTTATAGAGATTCGTTATGTGTATAGAAAGTGTGGACCCCACAAAATATTGTGTGTAGAAAAAATTTTTGTGTCATATTAAATGACAAATGCAAATCTCTTTATTTAAACAGACTAAAACGATTATTTTTTTTTCATTTTTATGTTAAATGTTTAGTTCCCATCTTTATCATTCACCGATTTTTTTTATTATATAAATATTTGTAAGATGTCAAAATAAATCGATACTACACGAAATGAATTTAACACGATATGAATATACGTAATACAAATATAATATGAGTTTTTATTCATGTCAGTATCTTTAACCTGAACACAATTCGAATTTTTATTTGTATTAATATCTTCAACCTTAACACAATTCAAATTTTTTTGGGATTGAAATAATACTACATGAAAGACATGCAAATTATCGATCAAAACGGTAATTGATAAAATAAAATTAATAAATGAGTCAAAATTAAAAAATATGAATGGAATTTGTATTGACACGATGCTAGTTTTTACCATTATTTTTTTAATATATATATATATATATGATAAGAAAAAAAAAACTACAAGTCAATCCAAATACAAATTTTCATAGTTGCAGATCAACTCGCGTATCATAACATGTTTTTACTCCCCTACAAATATCCCTACTGCAATATACAACTGATATAAAACTTTATAACATGTCAGTTGTTGGGAATAAATATCATATATTAAAAATTAATATCATAAATTTATTTATATTTGCGGAAAAATCATTTGACTGTTTTTTCTTTAAAGTATCATAAAAACAACGACATAAGGATAAATAAGAACACAATTGTACAATTTATTTGATTCACTCAAACCCGGATTAAGAAATCAAATTTCTTTATGAGCAAATTTAGAGTACAAATATAACAACGCTCAAGATTTTTTTTTTAACCCAAATATCCCATATATATACACTCTTTCGATGTTTTCCACCACCCTCTTGTTTAGAAAATTAATACAATATTCCACACCAAAAAAAAAAAATACAATATTAATTAATAGAAAAATATTTAAACCATTTTTTCAATAGAAAAATATAATCTTCCACAATTAATATAATAATTATGTCATATCAATTGTTCAAGAAAAATCTCCAATAATAATAAAAGATGCTCCTAAATGATTCGTCAATTGACCATAAATTGCTCCGTTATAAATGAGGTAAGGCTATCATATGAATAAGGGACCCAAGCAACAATTAACTTACATGAAAAGATTTTAAAGAATACTGACTTCAAATTTCGAATTACTTAATTTTTTAAAAACCTTATAAGTAACTAAAATGTTGCGTCGTATAGTGTAATATCGCTCGCTCAATAAAGAGTTTTTACAAATGTCATGCCAAGATAACTATTAACGCACATAGATAAAAATATAGACTTCCAGTCATGTCCATGCAACACATCAGGAGAAGGAACCCAGATAAAGATCTATTTGATTTTGCTTAGTGATTGGAATCAGAGTCAGGAAAATTGATTAAAGGTATTATCCATATCTTAAGCAAAAAGATTGTTCTCACCCCTCACGATCATGTTATTTTATTATTTTCACTATATTCTCTATTAATTAATTCCAAATTACGACTTTGTGATTCAACGTATGTTTGCGGTTTTGCTCGTCATCATTTTCCCTGAACTGTTACATGCCAATATTTAAGAGAGGAAAACAGGAAAAATATAGATTCTTTAAATTTTAAATTTGTAAGAAAAAGTCTTAATATACTCTACAAGGGCGTGGGTTCAAATCCCACTTGTCAATGTGAGAACTTTGTTGATTGAGAGATCTATTCTGACCCTGGTGACTGTCATACTAGTGTCTAAATCTACCTAAACTTTTATTAATCAAAAAGAGAGGGGGATTGGATCATAGTTGGGCTAACTAAGGGTTAATCAGAACAATAATAAAGAGATAAATTGCGGTTTAATTAATCATGTTTAGTGCTGCAGAAGTCAAGAAATGGGTAATCATGTGATATATAGAATTAGCATAATATAGTGGACATATCTATATATGAAGCCAATGAATATCATAGAATACGATAATAGGGGAGACACAAGGCATATCGGCTGGATTGAGTATCCTGTATCCGAATCGGAATCATCCACGCTCTGTTGTGTTGTGCTTTCATTTGATTTGATGATCTGCTTTGCACTTTCACCCTCTAATTATTCCCAAACCAAACTTAGCGATCCTGATCAATCTGTAGACTAAATAAGACATCTTAGCGATTTCAACTTTATTGCTCTTTTGTTTTTAATGCTATGCATCATTTATGAGAGGCAATCATATTCAAAAACAGATCGAAGGTTAATACTTTAAATTTCTTCCAAATAAATATTGAGACGATCAAATCATATTCTCACCCTTATCTCCTCAGTTCTCCCAACTGAATTACCATAATTATTTGATATAACTTTATTGCTATGTGGATATAAACAAATAAAAGGTCCTTTTCTGATCTTGCAAATTAATGCCTTCTTGCTTTTTCACAAAAGTGGTAAAAAAAATTCTAACTAAAACTAATTAACGGTAACCAAAAAGGGATAGTCAGGGTGCTTATGCAACCTCGATTATATAATTTTCGTGCTCTTATAATTAAATAAAAATTTGTTCCATAAATGATTTAAAATAGACTAAACTTATAAAAATTCATTGTGATATTAAAAAAGAAAAAACACTAATTATCAGTTAGTGTTCACGTGCTAGCTATTCTCAATCTCAAGATTCTCAACTCTTATCCAAAACTGAAAAAAATATGTAGCAGTAGTGGCTACCGCATAGTTGCGAAAGATGAGAACATACCTTGGCCCTTGCCAATGCTTAACATTAATTCGTACAAAAAATGATTCCGACGCACAGTATGGTTCTATGCTATGATGTGATTGTGATCTTTTCATTTTACGGGATTTAAAAAGTGCCGGTCCCACCCCATGTTCTGCCTCATATCTGTATCTCCAATGTCATACTTACTCGTATTTGTCTGATTATTAATGTCCTTTTATATTTGTGTAAAACATATAAATTTTATTGATTTAGTTTATTGTTATTTATTTTATCGGCATTTTTTTTTTCTATTTCTTCACCGATTTGTCTGATCAGTCGGCAGATTGTAAAAACGATAAAATTCTATTAAACTATAATAATTTTTTATCAGTTAATCCACATATTTTGTTATGAATATTAATTTTATGATTATATTAAGTCCACCTTAAATAATTATATCAATAAAAATATCCTTCCATTTTATAATTAGGTTTCATTTTCAAGAGTTGCTGTTATATTCATATGTGAATGTTGATAATAAATATTTAAAAGTTTATTTTATTTTTTATCTTTTACAAATGGCATTGAGATTTGAATTTATTATTTTATATAAATTATGCAAGTCCCTTATCACTTATTCACTTTTAAAGGCTTAAAAAATATGTAAAAATTTATTATAATAACGACACATGTAAGAAGTCAATTTTAATGTGTTAACTGAGTGTTTTAATTTTTTTATTTATCTTATTTTAATTATTTAAAAAATGATATAAGAATGATCTAATGATAAAAATAATGTCATTTCCAACAAAAATACCGAAGAAAAGAAAAGTGCGCTCCATTATATATTAGGAGTCAGGGACTCAGGACAGGAAGCGTGCGCATGGTATTATTCCATGCGGCCTCCATATTCACGGACTTTGTTGGCAATCTTTCATAAAATAAGTAGACGTTTCGGATGATCTTTCATCCTCAGTGGTCAATTTGACATGAGTGCCGAAGGAAAATATTTTTTGTATTATTGTTGCATCGAATATTTAGTATATTATTTATTAAATATGAAAAAAAGAATATTTTTATATTATCTTTATTTTTATAATTATTTTTATTTGTATCCCATATTTTTTTTATTTTGATAAACGAGTATGAATTTCAGTTACATCGAAAATAATCTCAGCAAAAGGAGTAGATTAGTATTAATAAAGTAAAAATTAAAGAGAGTCTATATTTTATAAATAAATAGATAAATATTTTTAACTTTTCTTTTCCTTCAAAACACATTTTACTCAATATAGAGTAAACATTTATGGGAAAAATGTTTCCGCAGCTAATGCAGAGAAGTTATCTGCATTTATTCTCAAAACGACGTCGTTTTGGTATTGAAATCTTAAAAAATTATAAATATAAAGACTATTATAACCTTAAAATAAATTAAAATTACAAAAATACCATGATTTCCGTCCCAAAACGACGTCGTATTGGCTTACTGCAGATAACTTATCTGCAGTAACTGCAGAAAAAGCGAACCCAACATTTATATTGTATAAAATATGGAAATTAGTTTTTCCATGATATAATTTTTGTCAAAAGAAAAAAGTGGGATCCACTAATAAGGAAAAGAGAGAAAAAATAAGTAAATCCTTCTTATTTTTCTTTGTGTCTCATGCAACGTGAAAAATTATATTCCCCTAAAATATATATGTTCTTTCTCCCATTAGATTTTTTAAAAAAAAATATATAATTATTTTTTTGTGATGTAACTTATTTTGGTTCAGTAACAGTTTCAAGCATTATCACATGTAAGAAGAAATTAATTAATAAATTGTGAATGAGAGCGAGAGAGAGAGTATATGATCATAAATAAACATTTCTAACATGTCCATGAGATGGCTTGTTTTTATACACTAAAACTCGGTTACGTATATTTGATTCCAGCCCCACTATATCGATCATTCATATCAAGGGAAATTTCTATGGCAAAGCGGATTTCCCCACTCGAGTACATTTTCTTATCAAAAGAAAAAAGTATTCTTCCACTTTGATTCATATCTTTTTAAATTATTTCCATCTAAATTTCCTTTTTTTTTTATACTCTTTTTGGATAAATATATAATGCTACAGCCGCACCAAAAAAGTGCTCCATAATATTAAGACTAGCTAAGAGGGAGGGGATAAAAGCTGGAAAAAAAAGAATATAAAAAAAAAAATAAAAAGCAAACCGGAGCATTTCATAAGAATGTATTTTGATACCCATTCTTAACATCTCCACATTCTTTCATGAGATGCTGAAAATTATCCACCATAGTATCAGGCACGGACACAAGCACTCTCACAGCATTAGCATCACCGATTACTGGTAAAAACAAGCAGTAAATATCACTTGTTAAAGGACCCATATGCAAAGGTTTCCCCTCTCCAAAATCAACCTCTTCCAACCCCAATTTTGACCACTGAGATATGACAAAGCTAGTTGAAAGATCTGTTTTTACCATCTTGTCCTCCAACAAATCAACCATTGACCTTACGCACTCATTGTCATTCACCCTTGCCTTGGCTTCCTGCACCACCTTCACACCATGGTGCAGGTTACCCTCCAATAAGTCCTTTACAGTACTCTCGGCGCACCCTAGTATGAACCCGTTTCCATAATAACCTTCTGGTAGGTTCACTTTTGTTCGAACGTTGACTGAGAAAAGGAGCTTCAAAACTAGTGTGGGGGATAACGATATGTTCAGTGAACGAATCCAGGAGCGCCACGTGTGCACCGCCACCGCTTCGAAGGTGGTGCACTTCAGTGACGGCACGCACTGCTTCTTCAAGTTGAGGACATGGGAGGGTCCGAAGGTGAACGATGTTGGCACCAACGGCTGTGACTGTACCAACTTGAGGAGGTCAACTTGAGGGGTTGGGTCTGTTCCGGTGTATCCCGGATGACGAAACTTTACCTGCGGTGGGTCTCTTGGCTTCAGCACGTGTCGACAATGGAAGGGTAAGATGGTCAAATCCGCTTTCGGTGCGGTGGTCAGTTGTGCCCAAGCGTGTAAAAACTGAGACGTGCCGATGCCATCGCATAGGCAGTGGTTAATCGCGGTGCACAGGATCATTCCCCCGCAACGGAGACTCGTTATCTGATAATTAGCAGAAGTCATATTGGTCAAACCACACGAATATTTTACTACATAAGGAAATAGAATAATTTTATGTTCTCTTAACTAATTTTTACTAATACACGTTTGTAATATATTGTTTTATTAAAGACGAAGAAGATTATTAAAAAGTAATTTAGGAGAAAATAACATTACCCAAAGGAATAATACTTTTTTGTGTGAGGGAAAATTAAAATATATGTTCTCTGGTTTTCTTTTTGCTCCCCATTTTTTGTTATGATCATCAACTTTAATTTACATGGATTCTGATTAGAGTATATATTAGTTTGAGAATTATTTGGTTAATTAGTATTACTTATATAGTTGCATAATTAAAACTTCAGAACCCTAAACAATTCATTTATACGAGACTCTTATTAGCTAGAATTAATTTTTTTTTTAGAATTGGCCATTAATTTGAATACTAAATCGAATGACCATAACCTAATTGTTAAGCTTATTTCATAAATAATGAACCATCTAATTCTAAGGAAATTATTAGGAAAAGGAATCTAACCTGGACTATGAGAGGAGGAACATCTAAGAAACTCTGAGCTTCCACCTTATACAAGAACTTCCTCCAGGACTTGTTTGGAATCTTAGAAGATTCAAGTAATTCGTCAGAAGTGATGGCCATGAAAGCTTCAACAAACACAGCTCCTTCTCCATTGCAATCAACCTCAAGCTTGTGATCATCCATGGAAGCGGTCCTCAACCTCCCCGCTAAGGGGTAGTAATCCACTAGAACTCTGGACAGAGAAGACTTGAAGATATCTAAGCTCACGGATTTCTTGAAGAGGTACAAATACTTAATGGAGAACCTAAGGAACTTTTGGTCATCGAGATTAGAGAGATAGAGAGAATGCTTTGGCGTTGGAGCACTTGGTTGAATAACGGTCACAGCTTGGCAAGGATAGATACAATCAGGGAGTTCCACATAATTTAACATATTTTCCTATACTTTTTTGCAGCTCTTTAATTCATGCAGTTTTTGATGAAAATGATGATGATCGATATGCCAACAGATAAAAAAAAAAAAAAAAAAAAAAGAGTTAAAAGAAACAGAGAAAGAAGAGAAGGGAATTAATTAAGGAGGAGCTGATTGAACGAAAAGGTGAATGAAAGAGGGAACTGCTAAGACCTTTATTAACCTGTAGACAAGAGAAGTACGTTTTTTTTTTTTTTTTTTTTTTTTAAATAGGTGTCAGAAATCTTAAACGACTCTACTAATTATTTCGATTATCGAGTAGGAATCGAATCTATTAATAACACGATTAAATCAACAACTGCCACGGTGTTCAACTCGCTGCTAGTGGCAACTTGTATAGTTTTGCCACGTGGCAGAACTACAGAGGCCATCAAACATATTGCTACTGAGAGCGAGTTTAGCGATCAAATTAGTAGAGGTGCTTCAAAAGCATGCACACTGCACACATAGCAGCTAGTGTGGAATTAGGTATCAGTGGCACCGATTTTCTAGACTCATATGATCACGACGCGTGTCACAAAATTTTAGTAGTTTTATCCAAAAGTTTTGAAAAGTTATAACTTTTTGCTCGAGTGTTCGAATACGTATTTTTTTTTATTCTACGTAAATCTTTTACATCTATGTGCTGGCAAATTCTCGGAGAATTATTTCTTAGTGCTGGAAGGTAAAAATTTAAATAACATCATTTACAAAGATAAAATATGTCAAAAAGAGCAAAATGAAGCATTTGGGAGGGGGGGAGGGGGGATTGACGAAATTCCCCTTTGGAAATTTGTCAGCGCGTAACTCTTGAAATGTTACGTGAAATAAAAAGAAAAAACACCTGATTCGAATACTCAAGTCAAAAGTTACGACTTTTCAAAATTTCATGGTAAAACATCATAAATTTTGTTCCTAGCGAGTTTCAGACTGCCTGACAGCAGTCTAACTAGTTTGACCACCAAACTTGCTATCAGGTTTCATGTCATATGGTATATCAAACCCACTACAACAGGTTTGATGTCGTGGCAGTTTGACAAATTTTTTCAATCCAGTGATATTCAGATAAAGTTTTTGAAAACTATGACGGTATGGTCAATGTCCCACAACTCTCGGTAGAGCAATGAGTCATTCTAAAATTGACATTTTGGATCATGGTTAGAGTACGACGTGCAAGTCTAAGATAGAAAATATTTTTAGTGCTCTCGTTGCATCGAATATTCAGTATATCTTTTACTAAATATATTAAAAAATAATATTTTTTCACTATCATTGCCTTTATATTTATTTTCATTCATATTCTATATTTTCTAATTTTTGGGCAAGGAATATATACTCCTCGAGTACAGAAAAATGAGCTCCGTACGATGAGGGCAGCCTCGTCATAAGTTATAGGGTTTAAGTTTTCTTATGTTGTAGGATTGTAGGAGAGAAAAAAAGTAGAGAGAAGTTAAATGTGAGTCCCATATTTTATTTTTAAAAAAAAAAAGAAAAATTAATTGGCACGAAAAACGAATTTGTGTAAGAAAATGATGTACTCTCATGTGGCATGAGAGTATTATTTCCCTAAGTTATATGTGCTCTTTCTCTGCACCATGACTTCTTTCGTTTAAGACAAATTATAGTTGCTGTATTCAAAAAAAAAATATATATATATAGTTGCTTTAATTTGCTACGAAATTAAAAAGTACAAAGACAAAACTGCAAGTTTTTGCTGATTAAATTAAGGGTTAATATTTTCTCAGGTTACATGAGAAAATATTTTTCTCCTACACACTCAAATCAAAGATGGAGCTCACTCTTTACTTTTTTTCTCTTCTCTATTTTCTCTCCTCTCTCTCCTTTACTTTGTGTGTGAAGGAGATTAATTTTTCTCATGTAACATGAGAAAAGTTTAACCTTTAAATTAAGGGAAAACTTTTTCTCATGTTGCCTGAGAATTCAACTCTCATGTTAGTGATCCTTTGATTTGCGTGTAAAGTTTTTTTTTTTTTTTTAAATAAATATGGAGTCCACCACTAGTTGAGTCACAACATAAGAATTGAATTCTCATGCAACATGAGAAAATCAAATCCCTTAAATTAATCATCGAGGCACAAAGAATTTCATTTGTGCTTAATATTTCACAAAAACAACTGCTTTCCACCTGTTAGATGGAAGAGAAGTTGGACACGTAAAAATTTAATTCCCACGGAGAAATTAGTGATATGCGTATGTGATTGTTAAGGGTCATTTTGGAACTTCAACACACATGTGATTGTGTCAGATGGAGCTGAACTTAGGGGTAATTTCTCGAAACTTAAAACAAAAATTCAAAATTCCTACTATTCAATCCACGTATAGATTTCTATTATGCTTCGACCATGGAAAAAATTTCAGTGCTCCTATTGTATGAATTACTCAATGGGACAGGTCAATAAAAATGTGACAATGTCTATGATGGCCTGATGGGTGTACAGGAAATGGAGGGGGAAATTTTTTTAATGCAAGTGTCAATTTTGTAGTGAAAGGAACAAATACATTAATAGGACTGAAATTTTTCTCCTCGACCATAAGACATGTCACATTTTCCTACCATATACATCAACGGCTAATTTGTTCCATTAAGAAAGTCAGCGTGAGGGGAGAAACGCCCGTTATTGTTTTATGGACTTGCAATTTCTCATGTTACATGATAAATTCAAATTTTTCTACGGAGAGAGAAAGAGATGAAGCTCACCTTAAACAAAAAAATAAAAAATAAAAAAGTAATTGGCATGGACATCGGAATGAGAGTGATAAAAGAGGAGACTTTTCATGTAACATGAGAAGTCTTTTTCCCTTGTTTTATATACATTTATATTATTAAAAATTTAAAAACTTACCGTAGCGTTATATTATTCATATAAATGTGTACAGTATATAATTCGTTATCACTTTTACCTTTGAAATGCATTTTATATAATAATTTTCCGCCCAAAATTCATATATTTCTTGAATCACCAATGAAACTACGTTATGGTATAGAAATGTTTAAACTTTTACGTCAATAATTAAATATTCAAAATAAAATTTCAGCAGTTCTGTGCCATATATAAAAAGTACAACTAAGGATTTCTGGGAAGACAACGTCTACATGTACAAAGCTTAATCACATGCTGCACCGACAATAGTCCCAGTTCATAGTTGCTGACGGGAAACACAGTGTACGTTCTTTCAAGATTTAAACACATATAAGCTATGGCTACCAATCTACCATGGCTTTTTCAAGATTTATCCTGGTCCAAAATGAATTGTACGTTCTTACTTAGTTTATTATTATTATTATTTTTTGTATAGACTTACTTAGTTTATTATAGTCCCAGAGGATGCATTTAAATTCTCAAAGAAAAAAATAAAATAAAATAAAAAAAGTAAAGAGGTGCATTAGCAGATATGGACCACACCTGAAGGAGACAGCTACCACACCTGAAGGAGAAGGGACCAAGAGTCTTGCTTCTTTGCTTGGTGGTTTGGCGAGTGGGGACTACCATCAATTGTTGTGTCGCCGCAGTGTCATCTACTCTCCTCATTTTTTTGGAAATACAAATTATCTATGTTCTTGTTGGAAATATTGCAATCAATTACACGGAAGGAGGAAATAATTAAAAAAAAACACACACACACAAATTTACTCTGTTCATTCTAGTCATTTTCACTTCATCTCATATAATTATTATTTATGGATACAAGCTCAAACTACAGTCAAAAGAATCTAAGGCCCAAAATAATAGAAAACCTCTGCTGGTTTTTTGGGTACTATGAACCGACTAACCATTGGATGGACTAGGCATCACTGCTAATTATCAGGAATCATGCGCATAGAAAATTAATTAAACTGAATATCAGGCGGATAATGGCTACTATTCAGCTGAAGATTAATTCCATTCTTGATTTAAATCAAGTATATCCGCACGTAAATCAATCACCTTGACATTTTCAGTATTGATTAATTTCACCCGATTGCCATGAGTATACGCGATTCCTACTATAAATTAATACCAAACAGAGACACATGAACAGTTGCGGTACATGCCCCCAAATAAAAGGTCAAAAAACTTTGCCAGAACAACAAATCCAATCCTTCGTTACTTTTACTTCAAAGATGTATGAGCCAAACTTTATTGCAGACAAAAAACGGTGAACGCCATTTTATAAGATCTAGGTTGGCTGGCTTTACTCCACTTTTCAATATTAATCTTTAGTAGGCTTTCGCAATAAGACTTTCGCACCTCACTTTTTCCTAGTTTTACGACTTTCGGCTTTCTCTCACTTTTTCCTTTTTGAATTGTGGTTCGTAAGTTGACACACAAGGCCAAGGGAACCGAATTCCCGTCAAACCCAGCTCAGGTTCAATGGCATATATCTTCCAAAGAATAACTATAATTTAATCCATCACTGAGGCGGCTCACCACATCGTAAGACCACTGAGATTTAATAAAGTCTTTAATCATCTTAGTCTTTAGTGACTAACCATTCATCTCTAGAACCAACCAAATTACAAAACTTTACTATCACTGCCTTCCTCATAATTTATGTCTAATACATTTTCATTTTCATTAAAAATCACTAATTTTAAGAACTCCTATCACCTTTCCACTTAGCCAATTCATTATCTAGTGATAATCATCTTCTATTTTAGCGGTCAAGGGCCTGCCATCTTTTCACCTGATATGCTGCCAGACCCCAAATTTAATTACAAATCATTTGACTAAAAACAGTACATGTAATTTTCCTCGAATAATTCAGCAATACATGAACATAAATGAGTTGGAAAAACAAGTATCTTTTGAATTTGGACTTGCAGAAATTGGAATTACAACCGAGCAACGTATGAGTTTGCTTGGGTTACATATCTAACCCATCGATATGGATTGTGTGTTTTTGACGTCTTTGCTATTTGCAAGTACTTCACCTGCACCAACAAATGCCATCTTAGAACTATTTATGATGAGAGAGTACAAATAAACTAGAAAGAAAAACAAAATTTGCAGTAATAAAGAGGAAAGTTGAATCTAATCCTCGAATCATGAAGGGATAACACAGTTTCACTTTTAGCATCCAGTAACTCAGCTACAATAAAACCAACCAAGACATATAACATTTAATTTCTAGATTAACAGTATAATTGTGGCACTATATCATCAGAAAGATCGGGCACAATTTTCAACTAACACCTATAAAAGTCCAATACAGTCTATCTAGCTTTATTTAATAAATGTAAAAGAAAATGTAACTTCAAAAAAATCCTTAGCATTTTACCTGAAGCCTTGAAGCATTGTACATAGGTATAGTGAAAGTCATGCTAAGAGGCCCTGCTTCTTTCATGATATTTCCTGTGTTCATTACAAACACGATAATTCATTACAAAGAAGAATATCTTTTGACATTCAACCAAAACAGAACTATCAGCATTTTACCATGTAACTCCTGTGAAAATGTCAGCTTTGCTCGTAAAGTATGTTCAGATCCACCAACAACCTGTAAGAGGTGGACCAGTCTAGCTATTAGTAATACCCATACAAGCCTCAAATAACTAACTGAAGAATCCTTTATGAACATCAAATAAATCAGTGTTTTAAAACATATTCATTATTAATGGAAAAACAAAAGATCAATATTACCTTTTTTAGGCCCCATTCCAATCTTTTATTTGCTTCCTTAAAATCAGTTGTGTGTCCAACTGCTCCAGGTTCCAACTCAAAATTAACACTGAAAAATTGAAAATAAATTTACATAGAGGGTGTAAGAGCAAGTAATCAGGATGGTATTTTAACCATGCTAATGAATGGGCTTTTTAGCCTGGTCTGTCTAACAAATTAAAAACAAAAGGTAGCATGTTTGGTAAATCAGACTCCCGCCACCCCCATTTGCATCAAGAACAAATCAGCCTCTGGAATATATACACAGGCATAGTTCCCCTCCTTATCTCCTTGTCCCTCTTTTACACAGCCAGTCACCAGTGAGGCTGTGCCATTACTACCAAAATGGCATCAGTGTCAGTGCTAGTAACCTCTCTGCCATTTTTTTGTTTTTTGTTTTTTTTTTTTTTTCATTTTGCATGTTGAATGTTTCGAGTTCTGATTTATGATTGGAGACATTCAGCATTAGGCATTGAATTTTTATCTTGAATGCTGAGGTGTGGGAATACTGAGAGCTGGAAAAGGGATGGCTTACTAAGAACTGGTAAAGGCAAGGTATTAGAAGTCAATATGGTGAAAGTGGCTACTGTTTGTGTTTATATGCCATACTTGATTCTTAGTCCTCATATCTTTTCTTGTTCATAATCTCTCCTCCTGCATTCCACCAATGACAAGAAAATATCATAAGCAACCAAGCATGACAGAAAAGGAAACCTGTTGGCCGGTGATTTTCTGGTTTTGTGGTGAATTAGTTAGGTCTATCTTTTGTGATTAATGTAGTCCAGTTGCAAAAATGGAACAAACATCAGTTGCTTACTCACAGGTTGCAGTAATTTTGCTAACATACTCGTTTAACAAAATAATAATTAGAATAAAAAATTATGAGATACGCTATTTGCTAATACTTTAATTTTTGAAAAACATGATGATTTTTTCTTTCTATTATGTGTTTTCAATTTTTTTTATTTTTTTTGTAGGCAAGTTAAAAGCTATCTCATTTAACCCACCTAATATATGGGTCCTAGTTACTTAAATCCTAGCCCATTATTGATAGCTATACACTAAATTGTTCCTATCAACTCATGTATAATGATCATGAAGAAAATTCAAATACCGAGCTGTAAATGTTGGCAGTGGCATCTGTAACACAACGGAGTTAGCATTGATGCTTGAGTTGAATTCAGCTCGCACTTTAATGGTCACTTCAGCCTATGAAAAAATAGCAGGTCGTCAGAATGTGCTAAATAACAAGAAGATTTAGAAAATTAGAGAGAGGTCAAAACCACCTTGAGGGATCCTGTTTCTTCAATCAATGCATTAATACGAAAGGGTGGCTTAAATGGTTGAGTCATACGGTAATTCATGACGGGAAATTCACCATCTGGTGGTACCTATCGAACAATGGCATAGTAATTAGTCAAAGGACTCAAAATTATAACATGCTTTTGTATTATCAATATATGTAAGCTAATGTACTATGCACTTACCAATGACAAAGTTCGGTCAACGTCAAAACTATCAAGGTGTACAGACTCATGGAAGTTACAATCATCTAAAATCACAGCACCTGAACCTCTATAATCTGTTAAAGATGATAGAAAGAAATCAGGAAAGAATGAAAAGACAGCAAAAATTGATAGGGATATGAAAAACCAACTAATCAACAACACATGTCTCTTCAAGAAAATTATCCATTCATCAGTGAGTCAACCAACTAAGACTGACTAAAAACATCCCCTTATTGACACTAGACAACATAGAATGTTTTCAATATGTCAAGACTTTAAATATTCAATAGAATAAGAGAATAACAACAAAGGAGTACCCTATGTGTTACTTGATAGTCAATAATATATGTCAGACAACAGTCAACCACCAGAAAAAGCACATGGTAAGGAAACCATACATATCTTTTTTAGCATTTCGAGTTTCAATTTTCAAGGGGAACAAAATATAACATAGATTGACCTACCACTTGTTCCAATACTCAGGTCCTCATTAAGAGCAAGTCGAATCTCTGGGTTACCAGTAAGATAACTCTTCATTTGAATGGTGCCATCTATCTCACTAGTAAGTATAAATCCCTGTTTCCAACAATAAATTCATACCAAAATATTTCAAAATTTTGCAGCAGTATATGTATGACAAAAGGAAGAAAGACACCGTAGCAGATAACATGGAAAAACCATATCAAAAGTAGACTTAAATACTCACACTAGAGTTGAATGTAACACTTATTTTCTCAATTACATCAACGAAGATCTCCTCCCTCTTCCTACCACCAGGTTCATTAGCAACAACAGATTTTGTAATAGCTGTGCCTGGCATTCGTTTGGTCCCTTGCTGCAAATATAAGAGCTTAACAAGTCAATAAAACCGAGCATAACAACCAACGATATGCCTGCAGCAAGTAACTGACTGTCTGACTCTACAAATAATTACCATGAAAATGGAAGCAGGACCAAGGGGAGGCATCCGTGCAGCATCAATCATGATTGGTTCATTGAAAACATATGACTTCAAAAGCTCAGTGGAGGTTGTTTGCACATAACCAAAATCCTGGAACAAATGGATTTTAGTGTAACTAGATATATCAAACACAAAATGCTGCAGTTAGGGACAGAAAAAAATGAGCAAGCTTTAAAATGGTATGAAAAGAAATAAGCATAATTCAATTGTTTACAGTGATCAATTGATATGTTAAACAAGTAACAAATTCAGTTTCAGTTTTCACTTTAAAGAAAATGAATAACCCATATACCAAAGTTAGATTAAAAAAATGAAGCATTTTTACAAATTAGAAAGTTTCTCTGCCTCTCCAAATGTGACTAACAGGAAAAGATTACAAGAAAATTTTACAAAAGTGCACTTTCTTATCAATCTGTCACATCCTACATGGTGATTTGAAAATTGAAACTTGTTGATGAGAGAGTTGGCATAGCAAAGAAACACTAAAAGTATAAATTATCAAAAGCATTCAATGGTCCTGTGTTAGATTAACTGAGGTAAGCATGATTTGTTTGCCAACATGCCTACATGGTTATTTTCCGCAAGGAAACCATTCAAAAATCAGTTCAAGCAAGGAAGAATAGCAAATACTTACAATCACTTCATCCAGCAATTCATACACGAGCACAAAGTTCTTTCGAAATGAATCTTCATTAAGAACACCAAGGTAATCCTTGATGACACGTGCAATTCTTTGTAAAAGTTCCAAAACAAGAGAAGGGGAGACATTGACTCTAGTTGTAGCAACAAACAGCAATCCAGCAACCTTCACGTGGAAGTAGTTCACACCATCTACATTCTATAAAAAACAGACACAAGACATAAAATAAAACGATCAGGTTAAAAAACAGGGGAAAATATATTAAATCTAATACAAATTAATATTATTATTATTTCTTAAATATTCCTCCAGTTTTATCAGTCAATGATAAACTCTCTCTCTCACACACACACACACATACACACACACAAGAACAATCAACTCTCAAAAAGAAATGAAATGAGTCGAGTTCCTTTAAAATTTCAGTCATCACAAACGAGCCTTGAAAATCCTACATTTTTTTAGGAATAGAAAATTAATAGAATGACAATAGGTTGTAAGTTCAAATCTCTGCGCGAGCATGTAGGCCAAAAAATATAACTTTTCGAAAAATTTAGAAATAAGTATCAAAGATGGAAAGGGGGAAAGGAAAAAATAAAAATGCATTGATGGTAATCACATCATAAAAGATAAAACATAAGAAATGTAAATCAGTAATTGCTAAATGGCGAAGTGTTTGAAGTTTGCAGAAGAAATGTGAAAGGGAAACTGGATATTTGACATCATGAATGAAATACCTACAAAAACAGGTGGAGCATCTCCTTCAGCATCTTCTTTCCAGAATTTGACTTTTCGGAAAAATGTCTCAGCACTTCCTTTTTGTACTTCGCCGCGATCTGCATTTATTTAGTTTAACACAAACGACAGGAATAAGTTAAAATCCAACTGATATATGAATTAGTCACAAATGTTAGGGAGGTGCAGAGTGGATCAAATTTCATCAGAAACAAAAATAATTTGAAGTTCGAATTTATATATAGTTACGAAATTGAAGGATATGATGAAGAAATATTGGAGTGTTAATAATACTGACAGTCGCGGAAGACGATGTTGTCGCCTCTCTGTGAAAGCACGAAGAACTGAGATATCATCTTTGCTTTGTTTTGTTTTGTTTTGTTTTGGTGTTCAGTTCAACTCACTCTTTTACCTTTCGACCTCGTCTTTCCTTCTTCAACTCAACTCAGCTTCCTCTATCTTTACTTGATCCAAGCCCGTGGTTGAAGTGGGACCACACTTCCCAACAAACGCCTTGCCGTTCTGCCACGCACAACCCAGACGGCCCAGAAATTGGCAACTTTATATGACCCATGTCGTTTTTACATTTAAGGTTTAAATACATTTTTATGTTAGGAAATCTCCTTATTTTGTGAAAAAAATAAAATAAAATTCTTCTGCGACCAACTATAACCCTATATTTGGGGAAGTATTTTAGGGAGTTTATTGGATTAGGATTTTAAAAATTTATTTTAAGATTAAAAAATCTTATAAATTTTAAAAGATTATCCAGAACTGTAGTGGTTTTAAAGACTTTTTTTACCATCAAAATTTTATAATATTGAATTTTAAAGAATTTTAATAAAATTTATAAGATTTGAAAGGATAATATATAGATTTATAAGATTTTAAAAAATCATTTGAATTTATTTAAAATTAAAAGAGTCAATAAAAATAACAACGAAATGCGATGATATTAATAAAAAAATAAAACCTAATATAACATTCTCATTCAGTAACTTTATATCTTACTAAGTAGTAGCTTTCCACATATCTATATTAGCTCTTCATGCATTAATATCTTCTCATTTCTACTATTGGGTTTGACCAATGAGATAAAGATAATAAGAGCTGTACATATATGATTGTAAGACCCACATCATTATTTATTAAAATAATTTGAAATTTGTATATAAAACCTAAAGTTCTTGATAAAATTTTGTTTAAAATTTTTTACAATTGATCTTAGAAACTTTGGGATTTTTATTCTACGGGATGAGAGTTTTGTAACCATATATCATATGCATTTTTCAGTGAGTATTATAAGAAAATTTTGAATATGAATTTATGGGTTTTATTGTATGAAAGTTTATAAAATTTCTTAAATTATTTTCAATCGATATATTGAAACGTTAAGTTGCTTTGAGGCTTTTGAATGACAAGTTTTTAATGATCTATTGACACAAAAATTGTTTGAAATCGTTTCCTATAGTTAAGGAATTTCATTCATGAATGTATTGTTACGAAACATAAGTTTCATATTTTGAAAGTTTTAATCTTTATTTAAATTGATCTTGTTTCATTGATATAAAACGAAAATTGGTTTGTAGAGTTTTTGTTCGTATGTTGTTTTCCCACCGTTTTATGTTGTTTTTGATACAAAAATCACATATTTTTGTGCCATGAAAAATCATAACCATAGCTTGAGAATTTGTATTTAAACTTTCAAAAACTCTCAAAAATCTGCTGTTTCTGAGATAAATTAGATTAGAATCTTGTTGTATTGGTATTTCTGGGTTGTTTTGTAATAATAATAGCTCAAAAATCTGTCATTTTTGAGCTTTAATGAAACTCTCATGACGGAACCTGATTTCGAGCGGGTCGATCTGTCGGAGAAAGAAGAAGACAATACAACAGAAAAAATCTCAATAAATCATAGGGGTTGGGGTGAGATTATGAAAGAGACATCTTATTTATATTTCTCACTAAAAGGTCTCACGAAATTCATACCATAGAAAATTCATTAAAATCGTCAGATTTTTGAATACCACAAAATTATTTTTCTATTGTTTAAAATCCTGATTGAATACCATCGAATACTTTGTAACTTTTTTTTAATCATTTAAAATCCTAATTGAATATCAATGAATTTTTTGGTCCAAAAATAATCCTTTAAAATCTCAATTCAATATACCTCCATTAAATTAAAAAAAACAATAACAAATTTTTAAATAGTCGCGTGGGAATTTTCTTGTTTTTGCCTTTACTTTTGCTGTAGAGACCAAGGGGTGGGAGAGGAGACATAGGTATTGATCGCGTAAAAATATACAGTTGCGATCATACCAGCACTAATGCACTGAATTATATCATAATTCAGAATTAAGTGTGTTTGGACAAAAGTAATATCTAGGATGAATTATCTAGAAAGTCCTTGTGTTGCATCTCTTTTTTTATACGGGAAAAACTACTCTTATGTTGCATGTGATAACTTTTTTTTTATACGTCCTTCGATAACTGTGCCACCTTTTTCTTCTTCTTTTTTTCAGATGGTGGAGCCCACAACACACGAGATTAATAAAACCCTTTTTATATTTTGAAAAATAAAGCTACAAAAAAAGGATATATTTTAAATTAAAAATACAATAACAGATTTTTAAATAGATAATATAATTAAAAAAGCTATACTCTCAAATAAAATTATTTAAATTTATTAAATAAGAGTACATTTTTATATAGTAAATACTTGATGTGGAGTCGTACCATTATCCATTAAGATAAATTATTCAAAAATACTTTTAGTGTATTAAAAAATTAAAGCTGCCATTCTAACGTCGTGTCTACGCTACGTTTTCTATCGGGTAAATCTTCAATAATTTGTATTATTTTATTTTATTCATGTGACGTTTTAAGATTTTAATGAATACATCAATTATAAAAAAAAAATAAGTTAAATAAAAATCAAGTGGTAGAACAAACAACTTATTATCAGTATATTATTTCATTATTGTATTAATAATAAAAAAACAAGCAGCCAAAAACGAGTATCACGAAAAAGGACGAGGGAAGAAACAAAACAAAGAGAGAAGAAAAAGAAATATCAAGAGGGTAAGTGGTAGTGCTATGTGTGGGTAATGGAGCAAAACGCGGGTGTGACTTTGTTGTGAGAGATGCATTACCTTTGAGAAACTCCAAATATCCGTTGCTCTCTGGTTTTGTCGTGACAACGTAAGGAATCTTGATCGCTGAGAAAACCTATGCAGCCCCGAAGAGATCAAACATGCCCAACACATAACCCATTCAAACGTGTTAAAATCTGCTTTTCCACTCAACTTCACTAAGGAATCGACCCTTCCCTGAAGCAATTTTGTGCCTATGAAATCAGATTCTTCGGCTGAACTTGCATAGCTACAAGGATAAAGCTTTGTTTTTTCACATAAAAGGTAATCCTTTTCTTTTAAATCCCTTCTACATTTGGAAATAGAGTGGCTTTTTCTCTTTTTTTTTTCTTTTTTTTTTGGGGCTTAATTAATGATTACCCTGGAGTGCCTCTGCTTTTAATTCTGTTATTATAAATATATGCTACAGATCTCTACATGGTCTCATCTCAAGATAAATTAAATAAAATTTTGGATTTGGATCTAGGTGTTTAATGGTAGGTCATTTATGTTATGGAGCTTTTAAGTCTCGTTGAATTGTATTAATTAAAATTATTATAGTCAGGACCGAAGGGGATGCTAATATGCTACTTTGATTCTTTCGACTACCCACTTACACGAAAACTTTCTGAATTGTGATTGGTTCAAAGTCTTGTACTTGTTGATGTTAATTTGCAGGGAATGGCTACTCCTGTTGAGCCTCCGAATGGGATCAGAACTGAAGGAAAGCATTATTATTCCATGTGGCAAACCCTGTTTGAGATTGATACAAAATACGTGCCCATCAAGCCTATTGGTCGAGGAGCATATGGAATTGTGTGCTCTTCTGTCAATAGAGAAACCAATGAAAAAGTTGCAATCAAGAAGATACAGAATGCCTTTGAAAATCGTGTTGATGCACTGAGAACTTTGCGTGAACTGAAACTTCTTCGCCACCTTCACCATGAAAATGTTATTGCTTTAAAAGACATCATGATGCCCGTTTATAGAAACAGTTTCAAGGATGTCTATCTGGTTTATGAACTCATGGACACGGATTTGCATCAGATTATTAAGTCTTCTCAAGCACTATCTAATGATCACTGTCAATATTTCCTCTTTCAGGTATGAATCTTTGGCCCATTATTAGGGTCACTGAGTATTGTTATATTGGCTTCAAATATGCCTTTTTTTTTTCTACGTGGTGTTCATAATGCTTACTTTCGATGCAAGTTTAGTATTCTAAAGTTGACACTAAGCAAAAAAAAAAAAAAACATTTGTGGAACTCATTTGTAAGTTCGTGATAGTCTTGCATTGGTAAAATCCAACTAATATGTCAAGATTTGTAAGCTTACAAACTTGTGGACTCTCCACATTTTAAAAATGTTTTTTTTTTCTGATGCATTTTACCATACTATCTTTTAGATCTCCCTGGATTTTCTGAACCTGTAGTTTTTCCTGAAGAACTTGCATCAATCATGATTTGGTACATTTGTAGGACTCTCTGATCATGCTTTGTTGATCATTGCATTTACCAATTGAAAGTTCTTTGTTGCAGCTGCTTCGGGGCTTGAAATATCTTCACTCAGCTAACATCCTTCACCGTGACTTGAAACCTGGGAATCTTCTAATTAATGCAAACTGTGACCTGAAAATATGTGATTTTGGGTTAGCACGCACTAACTGCAGCAAGAACCAGTTCATGACTGAGTATGTTGTCACTCGGTGGTATAGGGCACCAGAGCTCCTACTCTGCTGTGACAACTATGGGACATCTATTGATGTATGGTCTGTGGGATGCATCTTTGCAGAGCTTCTTGGGCGAAAACCTATTTTCCCTGGTTCAGAGTGTCTCAACCAGCTGAAACTGATTATCAACATCCTTGGTAGTCAAAGGGAGGAGGATATTGAATTCATTGATAATCCAAAGGCAAAGAAGTATATCAAATCACTTCCATATTCTCCTGGAACCCCCTTCTCCCGACTCTACCCTAACGCGCATCCATTGGCAATTGATCTGTTGACAAAGATGCTTGTTTTCGATCCAACAAAGAGGATTAGTGTCACTGAAGCGCTTCAACACCCATACATGGCCCCTCTGTATGATCCTAATAGTGACCCTCCAGCCATCATTCCAATTGATCTTGACATTGACGAGGATCTAGGGGAAGAGATGATAAGGGAGATGATGTGGAAGGAAATGCTTCATTACCATCCCGAATCTACCATGGAAAATGCAGAGTTGTGCTCGTAATCTTACTTTCTTTGTTTTTAAGTTCCCTTTTGTTGGTGCCAAGAGAGTTCTAATATCATAGCTTGCTTCAAATAACTAGGAGGGCTTTGTCATCAATGAGCTCAATATATGCTCTGTTTTCTCTTAGTTGAGAGCAGAGAAAAACAGCAAAAAGGTGGTCATCCTGAAAAATCATGTATAACTGTGTTTTGCTGGTGATGCATGATAGTTTTTAACCGCCATGTTGAGAGATTGATTATATCTTTAGCTCGGTGTTGTAGCTGCCTCGTTTGAGTTTGTATATAAACATGTCTTTTGTCTTTCATAAACCATTTTGTAAATAAAGTCTAATGTTTATCAATAATGTATTATTATTTGAAGTACAGTTTTTTTTCTTTTCTGCAATGTGTACATCACTTGTGTATGTGAGGGCTCAAAAAATGATCTACTTTGGCTTTGAGCAGAAATGTAAGGAGCCCTTGGTATATAAAACTTCTTGGTTGCCTCGGCTGAAAGAGATTTTTGGTAAATTAGAAAAGTCCAACCTCAGTAATCAAAACATCTGATGAACTTGTAACTTCTTTCCATGCCCTCTAAAATTAATATTCGCTCGTGGTATGAGCAAGTCCCTTAACTGCAAGTTTAACCTTGCCACTTAGCTATCGTTTGTGGGTGGTGAGGAACTTGTGACAGTATTCCTACTTTGACACTAACACCGCTTAGCAATCCAGTTCTCGTAAGACACATAAATTATTGAGTAAATGCACTTAACAATTCCTTGATTTATGTTAATATGCAATAATGGCAAATTTTTTAAATGGGGTAACAAGATATTATACTTTGGTGCTTGAGTGAGTGATGAAAAACATAGATACAAAGTCCAAGGAGTATATCTACCTCAGCTTACTAAAGGACGAGTTTAATTACCAACTTTGGGATTTGAGTAAGAGAAAAATTGTAAGAAGTCGAGATGTATGTTCTTTGAGGATGAGACCATTAAGGACATCAAGAGGTCTAAGGTTCAAATTGTTTCTCACTTGGACCTCATATTATCCTTCAATCAAGATGAATTGGGGGAGAGTCGGTAAGGTCAATAATATTGTTGCGAATGTTAGTCATGGAAATGATGAGCCACCGACACAAGAACAAGATGAGTTGGCTGAGGCAGTGCAAAACTACGAGCAATAACCTTAAGCTCAACCTCAAACTCGACAATCTAGCCGAAGATATTTTGCTGACGAATACACTATTGTAACAGAAAAAGGGAACCTCAAAGCTACAATGAAGCAATGACAAGTAATAAGAAGGAAGAATGAGAAAAAACCATGCAAGACGGGATGCAATCCTTGCATAAGAATCACACCTTTGGCATGGTCGTATTACAAAATGGTTGGGAGCTTTAAAGAATAAATGAGTTTACAACTCAAAGTTACGGAGAGCAACCCAAACCCGAGTTACAAAACTCGAATTGTTGTGAAAGGATATATGATAACTTCTCCATAAATATTTTTTTTATTCTGATTTGTTAAAATTGATTTATTTTTCAGTTTCACGAAATGATCCCATTGCTTGGGAATATAGCTTGGAAAAAATTAAAAATAAATGACTTTTTTATTTTTTTAATTCCCTAGCAACTTATTTATTAAAAATAAACATTGTAGAAGATGTTATTAACATTAAATATATACTACTTGTTAAAAATGCTATTTGTGGTCAATTAGACTTTAACGGACCTACCTCAGGCTCACTCTGCAGTGAGAATCAACTTAAGTTCTAGATTTTATAATATGCAAAACATGCAAGTCCAAAAGGACAAATTTTATTTTTATTTTTTGCTTTTTTAGTTTTTCTTTCTTTGACAAAGTGAAATATGATAAGAAGAGAGAAGTTATTAAAGCATTTTATAATTTATTACAAATAAATACTTAAATGCTAATAACATTTGAATATAATGATAAAAAAATAATATTTGTGTAAAAAATGATAGCTTGGACTTTAAAAGATATAATCGTTAGAAAAATTATATTAATCACAAAATATTCAAATAATTAGTATATAAAAATATCTGATGAATAAATATTAATATCTTATCAATTAATAAATATATAGTTGCAGGTCCTTGTATTGTAATAGCTTAGTTGACTCTTGATTACTATTTTTTATGTTAAGTTGAAGTTTTCTTTTCTTTTCTTATTTATATTTTTTTAATACATTTAAAATTTTATTTTAAAAAAATCCGAGGGCGCTACCCTCGAACCCCCTCCACTAAATATGCAGATATAAATAAAATTTTCTGAATCTGCCACTGCATATACCCAAGGAGAAAAGAAGCAAGCTTGACAGTAAATTAGAGAAATGCATTTTCGTTGGGAATAAGGATGACATCAAATGGTACAAGTTGTGGAATCCTGATACTCAAAGTGTAACATACAACAGAGATGTTGTGTTCAAGGAATCTAAGTCAAATGAGATTTTTCTGAAAGCTTTTGAAGAGCTACAAACTGTGGAGTTAGATATGAGTTTGAAAGATGACGCAATACAGTCATATATCGGAGTGAAAAGTTCAAATTCTGAAGTTGCTGAACATAACGTGGTTGAAGATGAATATTTTGAAACTGAGGTTGAAGTTGAAGCACCAGTGTTGAGACGGTCCGCAAAGGAAAAAAGACTATCTGAGAGGTATACACCTGAAAACTATATCCTATGTGCTAGTGATGATAGTTGTGCCCCGAATATTACAGGTGATGATCCAATCATTGTAAGACAAGTTAGGAACTCAGAGGATGCCAAACAGTTGGAAGAAGCCATGAAAGATGAGATAAAGTCTCTGGTGAAAAATCAAACTTGGAGTTTGGTGAAGCTACCTATAGACCGAAAGGTGATTGGTTGCAAATGGGTGTTCAAGAAAAAGGTTGGTGCCAATGCATAAATTGAGCGATACAAGACTTGTTTGGTTGCGAAGGAATACTCACAAACAAAATGAGTTGACTATGGTGAGGTGCTCTCACCTGTTGCAAAGTTGAATTCCATAAGACTCATTTTATCTGTGGCAGTTGCATATGATCTTAAGGTGGAGTAGCTGGATATGAAGACTGTGTTCCTTCATGGTGATTTGAAGGAGGATATTTTCATGAAGCAACCAGAGGGATTTGCTGTAAGAGGTCAAAAGGACCTAGTCTTCAAGCTGCATAAATACCTATATGACCTGAAGCAGTCCTCAAAGATGTGGTACCTATAGTTTGACATCTATATGGTGAAGCTTGGCTTTGATCGTTGTGATGTTGATCATTGTGTCTATGTAAAAAGGTTAGAAGTTGATTTTGTTTTAATAACTTTGTATATTGATGACATTCTACTTGTTGGAAACAATTTGAATATGATCAGCACTATCAAATGACTGTTGGCAAAGCAGTTTGAAATGGAAGATTTAGGCGCTGCAAATGTGTTCATCAGAATATAGATCAAGAGGGAACGTGACAAAGAAAGGTTATGGCTGAATCAACGGAAGTACATAGAAGATGTGCTAAAGAAATTCAAAATGACTAACTGTAAATCAGTGTTGGCTCCCATGTCTACCGGTTCCAAGTTGTCGGCTGATCAGTGTCCTAAGATTGAAGAAGAAGAAGAAAATATGACATCAGTTCCTTATACAAGTGTAGTTGGAAGTTTGATGTATGCCATGATTTGTGCTCGTCTAGATATTGCTCAAGCAGTGAGAGTATCTGGTAGGTATATGTCCAAGCCAGGAAAGGAGCATTGGACGGTGGTGAAACATGTGTACCGTTATCTTTGTAGTATATTTGACCTTAGGTTATGCTATGAAGGCGTGAAATCTCTAGGGGGTAGACGTTATTACAACCGAGATGCTTTTTGGATGTTGATTAGGGAGATAACATTGATAGTAGTCTACAAGTGGATATGTTTTTTCCTTATTCGACGGAGCTATCAGCTAGATGAGTAAAAGGCAGTGCATGATTACTTTATCTACTACAGAGGCTGAGTACATGGCCTTGACACATGTTGTTAAGGAGGCTATTTTTTTGCGGAGGTTGTGCAAAGAGTTTGGCTTTGCACAATGAGAGGTGATCGTTGGGTGTGACAGTCAAAACGCATTTTCTTGGCCAAAGAACCCAGGTTTCCATGCGAGACTTACAGTACCATTTCATCAGAGAGAAAATTGAAGACAATGTTGTATTACTGGAGAAGGTTAACACAAAGGCAGTGCTGACTTTCTGACCAAGGCAGTGATTTCAAAGAAGTTTGAATGGTGTACAGTTGCATTGACACTAAAGAAGTATGTGTAGCATTCACCAAGTAGTTTGTGTTTAAGCTTATGAATAGATGTTGTTAGTATTTTCTAAATCTTATTTACATTCTCTTGTAAACTGAGTTACTTATGACGAGTGTAGTGAAATAAATATAGTATAAACAAATTGAATATAGCCTACATTAAATGAAGTAAGATAAACCATTGTCTCTATTTTTTTTTCCCTCCCTTCCTCTTTTATGTTTTCTCAATTTGTGTGTGAAGTTTCAACACCTTTGCTGTACTCGACTTTCGGGTTTAGAATCTTGCACTTCATTTTGTGAGATTCCCATTTTGGAGGGGACCACTTTAGCCTTTTACATCGCCAGCTACAAAAATATCAGAAACACTAACCCAACTTCACACTTCATCAACAATAATTGAGATGAACCTTTATATTTATGGCAATCCCCGTGATGGTGAAATTCTTCTAATATTAGTCTTGGTGTTTGTTTTCTTGGATATGTAAGATAATCATAAGCATAACAAGAAAGACACAGCTTTCTAGCCTCTTCAAAACTGAAAGGTTCGTACGTGGAAGAAAATTCGGTAGTGTTTGATTGAAGGTTTATTTTGGGATTGATGGAAAAGTATAAGTGGATATTGGAAAATACCACGTTTGGTTCAGGTTTTTTCAAAAAATACCAGGCAAATAGGATAGATGAGAAAATGACTTTTGTGTTGATTTTTGGATGAAATTCACTGTTACAGAATACCACTTGAAATGTGGTATTTTGAGATAACTGGAGAAGTGAAAAAATAGGTGTACAGTTTCTCCCGAACATAAATTTTGCATATTTAAATAAATTTCCCTGGTAATATTTGGGTCAACCAAACAACTTTTTTTACATTTTTCTACCAAACTTATTTTCCAACTATTTCCCTATCAATTACATTTTTCTTAGTAAAAAAAATTTCTCTCCGATCAAACAATACCTTCAAGCCAAATATGAAATCTGGAATTAGATTTCCAACAGTCACTATACTTTTGTTGGCCATTTAATGGTCGATATTGTACGTACTAGAACAATTGGCT